ACCCTCTGCGAAGATCGTGCGCGTCGAATGCGCGAAAGTGCGTATCGAATGCGCGAAATGCAGGCGAGAGTGCGATTTGGTTTTGTCCGGCGCAACACTTTGTAGTACAGCTTGAGTACGCGGAGTATTTGGGGAGCTGGAAGATGAGAACTGGCGACTTTCTAGTACGACTTTAGTACGCGGAGTATCTGGGGAGCTGGAAGATGAGAAGTGGCGACTTTGTAGTACAACTGTAGTACGCGGAGCAATCTGTGGAGCTGGAAGCTGAGAACTGGCGACTTTGTAGTACAACTTTAGTACGCGGAGTATCTGGGGAACTGGAAGATGAGAACTGGCGACTTTGTAGTACAACTTTAGTACGCGGAGTACCTGGGGAGCTGGAAGATGAGAACTGGCGAAGTTGTAGTACAACTTTAGTACGCGGAGTATCTGGGGAGCTGGAAGATGAGAACTGGTGACTTTGTAGTACAACTGTAGTACGCGGAGCAATCTGTGGAGCTGGAAGCTGAGAACTGGCGACTTTGTAGTACAACTTTAGTACGCGGAGTATCTGGGGAGCTGGAAGATGAGGACTGGCGACTTTGTAGTACAACTTTTAGTACGCGGAGTATCTGGGGAGCTGGACGATGAGAACTGGCGATTTTGTAGTACAACTTTAGTACGTGGAGCAAGCTGTGGAGCTGGAAGCTGAGAACTGGCGACTTTGTAATACAACTTTAGTACGCGGATGAGTCATCTCTCGCGGCTGCTCTGGCGCCCCTGCAGCTGAGTCATGTCTCCCGACCACCCGGCTCTCTTGAGAGGTTGACAAATTTTGGCTCGTCGTTTACTCTCAGGTCGCCCTGTTCGTGGAAACTTCAGTGTGAAATGTACGTTCTTCAGTTCTATTTGAACCTCTTCAGCGTTGTACTTGCACAACTAAGGTTGACGTTGCACTGCCGTTGCATCGACGCATCTACGTCTACACCCCGTCACCTCTCTACATTTACATCTTCACATGCTCACATCCGCAGATCTACCTCTCCACCTCGCACACCCACACATCTGCACATCTATATCACATCTGTACATCCACACTGTCGCTCCTTCACATCTGTCCTGTCTTTCTTTCTACATATCTTTTCTCTCGTCTCTGTGCATTTACATCTTCGCACGCTCACATCCACAGATCCACCTCTCCACCTCCATACATCTACAGATCTATATCGCACCTGCACATCACACTGTCACTCCTTATCCACCCTCTCTTTCTCTCTTTCTATACATCTTTTCGACAATGACAATGCTGGACAATTACATGTCTCGCTCTCGGGCCAACCGTCGTCTATAGTATATATATGCAAATGTTTCTTTAAACATCCAGTCCAAAAAAGAAAAAGCAAAAGGCGAACTCGCACTTTTTGCATGATGGTTAGTTTTCGCTTCCATGGGTCTCATTCAAAGGTGAACAGACTGGAATGGTACCCCAAAACCGCCACCGATCCCAGTCGTGACACAATGTAGTGAAACCCATGTAGGAAAGCGGACTTCCTGAGAATTGGGCCCATAGGTGTCGCCAAAAGGAAAACGGCTTAAAATAGAAAAATGATCATATCGAAGATTACAAGGCCTCAGGCCGGCGCAGCCGCAATCCCCAGAGGTAGCGACAGCCGTTGGCTTCAGCTGCAAGCGACGCTTTTCCCCCTTCTCCATTCTCCATCAAGAAGGAAGCAAGCAACAAGGAGCCCAGCATCTCCAAGGAGGGGATGTTGGCCCCTGGGTTGGATTTCAGGAACGCCCAGGGAAAGCGTACTTGAGTGAGATGGAGTTGGAACCACCATACTTCATCCTTGGATGGATTGGGAAGATTGCTGAGCCAACCGCCTAGCAGGCTTCCACTGTCTCCTGCACTTGCATTGCTGGCTCCATAGTGGTTGCAATGAAGGCTTTGTTAGGGGCAGGTCGATGTGGCCCATCGGCCCATCGCGCTCTCTAAGTCCTTGACCGTGAAGACATCTTGGCGAGGATCTGAAGCACTCGATTGCGCTTGTCCTTGGCCATCTGAACGATGCGGCCCCCGCCGCTTATAGATGACAAAGCCCAGCCCCAGGAGCGTCTTCTTCCAGCCAAGTGCCAAGAGCGTGCCAAGAATCCACAAAGACGAAGGTCCAGTCCACCATAGGGTACAGGTAGTGCATACATGAGGAGCAACAGGAGCGCTGCATTCCGTCTGCAGGGTGGATCTTGATCCGCCTGTGCCTTGGTGACATCAGCTTCGCTCCTCCTGCTCCTTCGGAAAGGCAATGGTCCCACCGGCCTCTCAAGCACCGATTCGATCAGCATCAGCCACTGGGACCGGATGGGGCAGGGCTTGTCCAAGGTCTCCAACAGGTACCTCAGCTTGCACTTTGGCCGCAGTGCCCATGTTCGGCGTGGTGGGGCAGGACGACTGAATCCGGCCATCCGCATAAGCCATGTGCCAGGTCTTCTTCGGCCGCCCTCAGAGTGGTGCCTGAAAGTTGCCGGGGCTCCGGCGGCTTGGTGGACTTGCAAACGGGCAACTTTTTCAATTGAGGCGCCCTTCCCGCGCAGCAGCCAGGGCAGAAGGGTCATAGTCGCAGGTCCACGAACTCTATGCAGCCCGGACAGGGGGAAAGAACAGGAAGGGTCCACATCCATAGGGTCCAGGTCCGCGGCCGCAGTTGCCGAAGGTGTAGGGGAGGTAGGAGGAGCACTCTGCCCTCCGTTGGGTTTTCAGGGCCAAGGGCGCCTGCACCCGCAGGAGGGGAGACGTGGAGCTTGACCACGGCGTCATCCATCTCAGTCAACCTGGCATTCAGGGCCTCTTGGTCCAGAAGTTCGCACTTGATGAAGGCGTCCTCCACGGGAGGGGTGGCATCAGCAGTGTCCGGTTGGGCAAGTGACAGGGGCATCAGCAGCGCGGCCCGTAGCTTCGAAGACTGCCTCCTCTGCCATGCCAGGCCGAGTTCCTTCTCCCTTTCCTCAACCTGCTAGGGTTCCAAGGTAAAAAAGGTAACCGTAGCAACCTCATCAAGCAGCTCCCAATTGAAGATTCCAGAGTCAGCTCCAGCCATGGCTGCAATAGTCAAAAGGGGATAGAAATCAGGGAGCATTTTCTTGCAAGAAGGACAGAATCTTGAGCCAAAATGGCGAAGCATTTTGGCTAGTTTCCACAGGTTCCAAGCACGTACAAAATAAAACTTGTGTCCCAAGCACAAGCTGCTTAAGCAGATAAGTGGCTTCGGTGGTGAGGGCATAAACATTCTGGCCCGGCAAGCCAGCATTCACCCGCAGCCTAGGCCGTCTGGCGCGGATCAAAACCAGACTGAGTTGACAATGACGTCTCTGATCTTCTCCCCATGGTCACTTTTTCTGGTGCTTGTCATATGCTGCGCAAATACAATCTGGAAAATTCACCGCAGGATCAGGCACATCTGATTTGGAGATATCCATCTCTTTTTTCCAACTAATCGGGCGGCTAGCGGCTAGGAGCCTAGACAATCCGCGTGGGATCTCTGAAGGCTGAACCAAGATCTGAACAACTACAGTAAATCATGGTCCATCAAGGTGATCCAAATGTCACACCATACTGCCATAATACACTGCCATACAGTGCAAGGGTGAGCCACAAAGGATGAAAAGGCAAGTGTCGGATACCACGGCCGTCCCGCGGCTACTTGGAGCATGCAATGGCTTCGTTGTCCGTCTCTCCAAGGTACCGGTTCTCATCATCTTGTGACAAGGATGGATCGGAAGGATTGGAAGGCAAGGGAGCCATGGGCACCTGCATGACAAGTGGGTCTGGCAAAAAAACATATATGAGCTCTGGAAGTTGAACGCAACAAAGCTTGAAGTCCGAGACAGCAAGCATACTGCAATAAAAGTGACAAACTGATGAAATCCTAATATGTGCACCGGTGGGAACAACTCCCAAAGGCGCCATCAATAGTGCATGCGCTATGCCGTCGCAAGCCTTCTATCAAAATCAATGCAGTCATCTAAGAAGGATCTTTCAATGCAGCACCTCTCTTTCCAATGTCGGCGCCATTGCATGTGTCCGCTGCTTCGACCGCCTCCCATAGTCAGTCGAGAGCAAAAGCAGCTTGTAGGATAGGACATGGCGCCAGTCCCGCTAGTCAGTTCATTTCATTTCTGACTCTATACTTTACCCCGCAAGTCACTTCAAAGCATTGAAGGCCTGGGTTCTGCACTTCTGGGCAAGGAAAACGACAAGCAGAAGTGGTAGACTCCGGCAACCTGGGAGGTCGTTTGTCAAGACTAAAACTAAAAGGACAAAAAAGAACTGTGTTTTTTCCCGGTCTGTCTGTGAGACACTTAGCCAATAGCCAATTTGAAAAACAATATATGATATATTATATATATATATGTGTGTGTGTATATCTTCCTCTAAGCCTAAGCAAGGCCATCCTTCAATGGCCCTACGCAAGGCCTGGTTGACTTTTCCAAACTGCTCACAAGGATTTGAAGCACGGGATGACAATCAAAAAGGAGCGGATTTTGCATTTGCTTCTCCTGCGGCCTAAGCCCTGATAAATCGATACTGCGAGCAAGTACCCCGCTTTGCACAGACTTGAAATCTGAAGGCGTCACAAGCAAAGGCAGCAAGAGTTTGCCGACACCCCTCCTGGCTTCGCAGGTCACTCAAATTACGTGAGCTGGGATGGATTGAACAAAGTTCATCTTCATTCAACGCATATTGGGGACGACCGACTTTGGCTTTGCTGAGACCTTGACGGCTCAAGTTTCTACTTATCAGTGTGAATCGTCCAAATCGTCTCATACCAAGAGCCCTATGCCCTAGACATGGGCATCGGATAAGTGTCATCACTCATCACGCTCGATTGCAAAAAGGCTGATGGCAAACCAAATCAAGATTCAAATATACAGTAATGCCTTGCATCCACTCCACAAGTGCAAATAAGAAGCGGAAGGGCATACACAGTAGCAGCTCAGTAGCGAACAGAACAGTTCTTTGGTTTCGGACACTTTCAACATCTTTCAACCGCAAACATTGCCTCATGATGGCCGCGCTGCTCTCCAGCAAAGGGACCGTGCGAGGACGATAGTAGCAAAACAATGCAAAGCAGTCCTTTGCAGCCCCTTGTATACCAACCTTTACGCATTTTCTGCTGCATCTGGCGATCACGCTTTGCTCGCTTACATGATTGAATAATTCCGCTGAGTGCAGTTGTCGCCCTTGAACCAGCACTGCACTGAAAAAAATGACCGTGAGACCCTGGCACATTGCGTCCCACGTCTCACTTCCCATGTGTTTTCAAGATGCTGTCTTTCCGCCTTTAGTATGAGAGGTAGCTCAGATGACTGGACCTCAAACTGGGTGTTGATCACACAATGCAACTAAAAGAAGTAGCAAATATAGCGCTAGGAGCTGCCAGGCTATTCAATTCTTCCCCGTCTTTCGCAGCTACGATTTTGATGCTGAATGAACTCAATCCCCCAGCCGCTTCTGCTCAGCTTAGCTGGGTGCAGAAGCAGGCCCAGGCAAGCAATACCAGTTGGAGATAGTTGCAATAAACAACCATGGGCAGTATCTTCCAAAATAGGGCCGCGCATAACATTGGAGGGCTTTAAAAACAGGAATGTCAAGGATGATTTTGTACTAGTGTAGTCATCTCCAGGCTGTTACAGGCTGTCGGTGACACTGCCATCAGTGATTCGCCACACCACATCTGCTGCATCAGCCTCAGATGGCAAAACAAATCCGTGCTGCCGCACAAACCTTGTTGTGCTGCACAAGCTAGTCCCACACGCAACGTGTTCTAACCCCGTCTGCGCTTGAAGCAACACAAAAAGTCGTGGCTTTGGTTGCGAGCTCAGTGTGCTCTCCTCCCTCCCGACCCCGCAGTCTTGCACACACTCACTCACTCACTCACTCACTCTCTCTCTGTCTGTAATTATGAAAAGCGCGTGCGCAGACCTTTTCGCTAATGCGGCTTGGGCCTT